AATCTCTAGCAATAATTGCTAACATCTCTCAAATTCTTTTTTTTTTTTTTTTTTTTTTTGAGATGGAGTTTTGCTTTTGTCATCCAGGCTGGAGTGCAGTGGCGCGCTCTCAGCTCACCGCAACCTCTGCCTCACAGGTTCAAGTGATTCTCCTGCCTCAACCTCCCAAGAAGCTGAGATTACAGGCATGTGCCACCACACCAGGGTAATTTTTTGTATTTTTAGTACAGACAGGGTTTCACCATGTTGGTCAGGCTGGTCTCGAACTCCTGAAGTCAAGTGATCCACCAGCCTTGGCCTCCCAAACTGCTGGGATTACAGGCGTGAGCCACTGCACCCAGCCATCATCTCTCAAATTCTTACTGTGCTGGATACTGCTACAAGTTTTATTTCTCATGCATGATTTAATACTCGCCATCTTGAAAAGTAGATGTCATTGTTACTTCTTGTTTTACAGATGAGGAAACTGAGGCTCAGAAGGCCTAGATCATAAAACTAGAAAGTGGTAGACTGTGGACACAAACCAAGGACTATGCTCCGCTAGACTGTAATGCCTTTAAAGCGGAGTCCAATATGAAAGCCACTAGCCACATGTGGTTGTTTAATTTTAAATTACTTGAAATAAAATAAAATTCAATACTCAGTCCTTCAGCAATGCCAGCCACCCTGCAAGTGCTCAGTAGCCACACATGGCTAGTGGCTATTGTATTGGACAGCACGGATAGAGGTCATTTCCATTATCACAGAAACTTTGAGTGGACAGTGCTGGTCTAAATGCTCTTTAGGTGGGTCCTCCTCAGATTTTCTACTTTGAGAAAATGTTATTAGTTTAAGGTAGAGTCTCACAATCTCAGCACCATTGGCATTTGGGGCTGGAAAATTCTTTGCTGGGAGATAGGGGGTGGCTCTTCCTGCTCCTCCTTGGATGTTTAGAAGCATCCCTGGGCCTCTAACCACTAGATGTCAGTAGTTCACCTTGGCCCTGGTTTTGACAACCAAAAATGCCTCCAGATATTGCCAATTGTCCCCTGGGGAGCAAAACTGTCCCCCATATCCCCTGCCACCCTCCAGCTGAGGGTCAGTGTAAGAACTATACATGCATTTGAAGTAATAGCATACAACAGGGGCCCACAACCTCCAAGCCACAGACCACTACTGGTTCGTAGCCTGTTAGGAACCAGCCACACAACAGGAGGTGAGTTGCAGGTGAGATGAGCTCACCCAGCCGGTAGGAGAACAAGTATTTACCTTCACCCAGAGGTACTGGGTGAAGGTAAGTACTATATATACATTTGAAGTAATCAAATGGCAAGCCTTCACTAACTTCACTTGGCCTTCTGAAAGCAAGCCAATTCACTAAAACTCATTTCTTCTAGTGAATTATAAAGTGTGCAGCAATTTGAATTGAATGGGCGGTTTTAACAGCTATTGAAGATTTCATGAAAGAGTAAAACCATTTAAAGCAGTAGAAAGAGAGTAGAGATGCCAAGAAGGGATTACTATAATACATTATAGGATTCGTTCCTCTAATTGGCTATCCACTGACCATAACTATGAAATTATGAAGGAAAGATAAGAAGCAGATTGGTTCAAAAGCTACAAGAATGCTAAAGTAGAAAATCAACTAGGAAATGACAGGGACAGCCACATCACATATTACATTTTGGTTACTAATTTCCAGAAATAACACACAACAAAAATTTGTGCTATATGAGAAACTGGTAAAAGAAACTGAAAAAATGCTAAAGTTGACACAACTGAAAATCCACTTTCAAAGGATTCAAAAGAAGCTGGTGCACAAAAAATAGTATGTGAGATGATGGATATGTTAGTTATCTTGATTTAGTCATTCCACAATGTATAGATATATCAAAACATCATGCTGAACACCATAAATATACACAAATATTCCATTGTCAATCAAGAAAATACATAAATTTAAAACATAACCAAATGTAAGTATTCCCATATAATATGCTGAAATTTTGGCTCCTGATGAAATAATATACTTTTCCACATTTTTTCATATATTCCCAAGGAAACCAAACCTCCCTACAACAAATGGAACATTCCTTAGAATGCTGCTAAAGACCAGATGAAACCTGTCAACTACATCTTTAGAGAAATCTCCAAAAGCTTTTAAAACCATTTTCTTCTAAATGAATTTTTGCAAAGACTTAAATACTTTAAGTTGTAAACAGCTGAAAGAAAAAAACTTTAGGTAAACTGGTAAATATGGCAAATGATTTATTCAAGAAATTGCCCAAGAGCCAGTTTCTCCCTAACTCCCTACAGAGGGTGAGGCTGGGGGCCTGGGACAGTACTTCGTCTCCCCAACCCCTACACTGGTACCGGCCACTCCATTGACACCCATCAATTCTCCTATTGCTCTCATGAATGAAAAGTGCAACAGAGTGAGAGAATGCAAATTAGCAAAATGTGACGCAAACTGAGAACCTTACCAGGGAATTAGAGTTAACAATCTTTCTTATAAAACTAGGAGAAAAGGAAAAAAAAAAAACCACAGAAAAGAAGGGAGGGAGAGAAGGAAGTGAAGTGCCACAGGGATCTCTAATGACCACATTAAACACTCCTAATTACAGTGAGGAGTGGACGTTGGGTCTGATCTGGCAGGCTAAGCTGCAGCTACATTTCAGGCCTAAATTTGCCTTCACTAACCGGAAGGTCACACAGAGCCAGATTTCATGTTCATCATTGTTCTCTCCTCGAAGCTAGGTATGCTGCAAGGTCTTGGGTTCGGGAGAACTGGGTGCGGATGCATGGGGAGATGGGCCCAAGCCGCTTGGGAGAGGGCACTTTTAGGGTTGGCTCTCCTCTAGCATCTGGATTCCAGGGGGCTACTCAGGGCCAAGAAAGAATGCATGGATCCCCAGAATACCAGCAACTGGACCTGACTGAAAGTCAATAGTTGTGGCTTCTAATCTGAAATTACAACCCAAACTGCTTCCAGGGTGTTGTTCAAAAACAACACCACCACAAAGTTGCCTGAGCTCAACATTCCGCCTTAGGCTGAATCGAACTCTGCGGCAGTCCCAGAGAGAGGCCACAGTATCCCACAATGTATGCTTTTGGTCTGCTACTCAGAAGACGATCTTTCATCTCTCCAAGCTGGACAGCTCTATGCTGGGAGTCAGGGTACTCAGGATTCTAATCTTGGTACTGCCGCTGACTGTATGACCCAAAGAGAATAGCTTAAAACCTCTGGGGCCCACTTTATTTACCCTTGAAGTGAAGACATTGTCACCTATCCCACCATTACAGGGTCTTGTCAGATTTAAAAAGTTCTTTTGCTGTGCCTTAATCTCCGTCTGTATTTGTGCAATATGGTATCACATAATTCAAGCCCACTGTTTAATCTCAAGGTAACTAGTTATTAAGTTCTGTTATTATTTCCATAGAGATAGAATAACAGCAGGTTACAGGAGAATTATCAAGGGTTGGTGAATATGCTTATTGGAAGAAGGGAGAAAATAGCAGTAACTAGTTCAGAATTTAAAAACCCAAACTGCTACTCTAGAGACTCATTTGATTAGAGCAAAGTACCAGTGAGGCTCTTGGCATAGCGTCAAGGCCCACAAGGAGATGGATGGCTGCTCCGAACATACTCATTTCCACCACTGGTCAGACATTTCAAACATCTCCAGCTCCTATGAGACACGTATATATTTATACATTAAAATAGACTGCAATTGTATGCGGGAGAGGAGACTGTCAACCAATTCTGGGTTTCTGCCCAAATTTGAATTTCAGGGTCTATTGGGCTTCATTGAGAAAGTGCAACCCTGCTGATATGGCCAAGTTGTGATTATAGGAAACTCCCTTGTGTTGGGGGAAGGTGGGGTTGTTAGGGGGATAGAGAGTGTGAGAGTGCCTCAGGCTTACAGGGGAGCAGTGAATGTTTCAGCCAGCACCATTTCCCTCCCAGTCTTCCTCTCCCACAACACCTGGAGCCTAGGAAAAAGCTCAGAGAAGAGGACCCGAGAGTTCCATCTGCTCGCTTCCAAGCTCCTACCCTCCTTTACATTCTCTCCTACTGAGCTTATGTCCCCACCCTCCACTTCTTACAAACTGCTGCTTACTGGCCTCGTCATCCCCTAAGAAGGCAAGCTCCCTAAGTGCATCTTGGTTCAGTCAACAAGATTCCTTCAACCAATATTTGTGCCAGGCACTGTGCTTGCTTGGCTCCAGGAGGGGAAAGGAAAAGTTTCTCCCAGAGGGCTCGGCACAAAGCTAGCTACAGTGTAAGTACATACACTTTGTAAATGTTTACCAAGTTTCCTTTCCCTTTTAGGTCCTGTGAAACACTCTATGCCACTTAGTTGTAAAGGCCCTGGTTCTTTAATCTCCTCAAATGCCCTCTTATCATTTCTCCTGTACCTTCAGCCCAGATTCAATAAACCATCACATGAGCTCAGACTGAGACTTCTTCACCTGAGGCCATAAGAGCAAGCCATTTGGTCCACTGACTTTCCTTTTCCAACCCAAAGACCTCAGGCTGCTCCAGATTCCCTCCACAGAGAGCAGACATTAGGGTGAAGGGGCCCCCAAGAAAGCCCCCTTGCTCATTTTCAAGGAGGAAAATCTAACATAAGCTACCACTGAGCCCCAGGGAGAAAGGGCTTGGAAACTCATCTGGGAGTAACGTGCTTGCCATTATCATCTCCCTTGGCCCTCCCAAAGCACTCACTGTCAGTATCGCTGTCATCTGGTACTACCACGAGTTATACAGAGAAAGCCTTGTAACATCCACAGCATCCATCCAAGGCCACAGATTGAGGGCATAACAGTGAGGTGAGAGCCGTGGAGACAGGGTTTTAAAATAGTTGCTGAGGACACTTTTATATGGAGATCAGCAGGAGTTCAAGAGTCCAGGCCCACTCAGCAGCAGAAAAATGAGAGCATGTTACGGTACTGATCTTGGAGAAGCAGCAGAAATGGGCAGCCAATCGACGCACACCTCTGTACCTGAACCACTTTACTTTAGCATTCCAGATGCAGCACCATTAGAAATCACATGGAATTCCACTTTGGGCCTGCAGGCTAGAGGCTGCCAGCTCTTGTTCATCCAGTGTGTTTCCATGGAGGGAGAGAACTGCAGGGCCAGATCAACCCATGCAACTCTCAGCAACTGGAGATTTACAATGAGTGAGGTGGGTTTCTGGCTGTGAGTACAAGTTGGAATAGTTAAGGAAAAAGAAGAGTGTTCGTTCCATGATTGAAAATCACAAATAATCATGTATACTCACATACCCACTAATTAACCATATGACTAAATCCATTTCGGTTAATATCTTCTTCCTGTTGGAATTGCTTGAAATACGTAAACATATGCACACAGAACATCCAAAACAACACTGTGGATACAGAATAAGAATATACTGCTTGGAGATAATACCCCATCAAGTAACTGGGAGACTGCATATTGTACAGCTTGGAATAAATTTAGAAAATTAGGACAACTCAGAAAATTTAAGGTGATTCTTCTCTCCTCATCCATATTCCCCTGTCTCTTTCCATGCCTCTCTCTGCCTTCCTCTCTTCTCTCATCTACTTCTTGCCCCCAGCGCCCCAGCTCCCTTATCTCCCTACAAGATCATTTCTTGTCAGCCATGCCAGCTGCCCGCTGGCTTCTTACTGATGCCAAAACATCATGTTCTGATGTAACTGAACCACATTATTTGACGGAATTATTATTGTCAGATATTTGAATGGTGTTACTGGTCAATGAAATGAGCCTTGTAAAATCCAAGTTTATGGAGTGCTTTACTTTGAGCTGATGTTGGCTAGGTTTCTTGACACATATGGAATCTACAGCATTGTCCAGTCTCTCTCCCTGGTCCGTCTGTTATAAAACATCACCCTTGTGCAGCTCTCCCTTCTCAGACTTGAGCCATGTCTTACCAACTCTGGCAAAGCCAAGGCTGTAGCAGTGCCACAAAGTACCCCTGCACCAACAGGAGGGGACTCACTGTGTGCAGGACAGGAAACCCGGGGAATAACTAGGTATTTCCAGGTCAGTCACTGCAGCTGGGCCAAGCTCCCCCTTGGTGCTTCCCTCCTTCTTCCCTTTGCAAATCAATCAAGGACAACTGCAACAGCCTTGGGAGCACATCCGCCTTCCCCTCCTAGCCCCTTGCTGTCTGGGGCCCAGGTGAGGCAGGTAGAGGCGCCAGGCAGGAAGGAGAGGAAGCATGAAAGGCAGAGAAGCCTCGAGCCTTCCAGTCGCCCCTCATTTCCCCACACACTTGACCTGTCTCTGCGTCCCCCGACCTGCCCGAGTCCTAGAAGCTGAGTCGAGGGCTCTCCCGCCCCTAAGCTTTCCCACGCACACGCACACCTGCGCAAGCTCTCCCAGGTGGGCACCGCCCCCAACCGGCAGGCCGCACAGCGAAATGATGTTGCAAGTTCGAGCCCAGAGGTGTCTCGCTGCCCCCTACCCACCCCTAGTCACTCCTCGCCGCCCGTCTTTGCGGCGAGCGCCCCACTTGGACAGGTAGGAGCCCCTGCAAGGCCGGCTTGCTTTATTCCACCCTCCACTCCGTGGCGGGGGTGGGGGGGCAGAGTGTAGGTCGGCTGCACCCACCACTTACTCTGAAATCTTGAGGCATGCGTGAAAGCTAGCCATGGTGCTGCTGAGGGAGCCGCTGGCCGGTTACGTGCCTTGCCTGCTGGGGTGCATGGGAGCCCGCACTGCGGGCATGCCCTTAGAGGCTGCCACGTGGGGGCAGCTCCGCACTTCAAGCGCCCACACACACGCAGCCCCAGACCCGCAGGCCGAAGCAATAACCAGCCAGATAAAGTTTCTTTTCCAAGGCCTCTCGCTGTCTTCTGATCTCATTCCAAAAAGGGCTGGGCTTGTTCCTTACATGGTTAGGAACTGTTAACTCCCCTTTTTCCTCTGCCTCCACCTTCCCGCCACCACAGCATCCTTAGTGCAAAACACCAGATGCTCTTTCTTAGACTCTCTGTATCCCTGCAGGGCTAACGAGTGTGAGAAGTAACTTGGAGGAGAAACGATAAGGAAAGAGTAGAGGCTTTTATCCGAGCAGGAAAGGACACTCAGGGCTTTGGGTGTAAAGCCAAAGAAGATGTAAATAAGTTGCTTTCTGGCAATTTTAGATGATGCAGGCTGGAGGGAGAGGAGAGCAGAGGGGAGAAGAGAGAGGCCAGGAAAGAAAGAAAATTTAAATAGCAAGGCTGCAAGCATTCCCACCTAGATGTGAATACTGTTTTCGGTGTTCTAAACTGTTCTTGTTCAATCCTAAGGAAAACTATTTACTCCTTAAGCCAGTCAGGGGCCATGAAGCAAAATAGAAAGAATTTCCTTAAATTTGTGAAATTTTTTCTGCCCTTCAGATGAAAGTCCCTACCAAAGGTTGTGTGTACACAGGGAACCCCAATTACACCATGGTTTACATTACATGGATTCAGACATGTGGCAGATCAGATTGTGTCTACAGAAAACCAGAAGAGCTGGAGCGAGAGACACAGTGAGCAAAAGTGTGACCTAATGTTGACTGCCTGGAAGACACGATCTCAGCTCCATAAAGAGGTGTGTGTCCCTACCTTGGCCTCTGAGATGCACAGATCTACAATATTTTGATTTTTTTAAGTGCCTAGTTGGAGTGCAAAATGCAAAGCAAATGCAGATGCAGGCTTTTGGCTTTTTAAAATGACTTTGAGGAATCAAGAGTTTCAAAAGATTGTGATTTCTGTGCATGTATTCATGGGGGGTATTAAACACTATCCAGCTGGGCCTAATCCGACAGGCTTTCCAAATCAGGTTTACCCAAATAAGAATAAGAAGAAAGAAGAAATCTAGGCTGGAGTCCCTTCAGGGGGTCTTGGCAAGTCTGGTAGCAGAGGCCTGTTTTTCCTTTCAGACTGAAATAGGCAACACCCAGCTTCTGGAATTTCATTGGGTTGGTTGGCCGGGGTCTCTGGACAGGGCAGTACTCGCAACCCTTGCTTGTTAACTTTGGGGAAAAGGAACATAACTGTAGATGCTGAACTCTGACCTGTGGCTAGAATTTCTAGCTAGAATTTCTTTCTAACTCAAATTTGTGGTTAGTTCTCCATTATTCATATGTGGCTGCTGCTTACCCACTTAGTACATTTCCTGTAATTGTGTTTTTAATCAAAGAGTAACTTCTGAAATACCAACCCCAGTTGTAATGTCAGCAGGCAGTTAAGAAAGACCAATTTTAATATTGGCCAGAAAAGAAGCTAATTAGAAAGGCAAATTTGAATCATTCCCCTCCCACCCAAATAGAACTCACCCTGAAAACAATGAGCTTTAGCATTTTGATAATTCGTGCTCTGCCTAACGACTTCCTTCCGTTACTTCAAATAATCAGAAGTAAAGAGTCCACAGAAAATCCATCCTATAATCCACAAACTGTGTTGATGGCTCCTTCTACTGAAGTCTCGCAGCACCTGTGGTCAAGGCTCTAGGGTCAGAGTTGTGACCACATTTTATTATATACTGTCTTTTGTTGTCCTTGAGGTGTTTCAAATCCATATAATTTGTCTCCTTAACTTAGATCTGAAGTCTCCAGAGGGGGGAAAAAAAAAACACATTTCTCACATTTTTTTCTTTTTTCATTTTTTTTTAAATTATACTTTAAGTTCTAGGGTACATGTGCAGAATGTGCAGGTTTGTTACATAGGTATACACATGCCATGGTGGTTTGCTGAACCCATCAACCCGTCATCTACATTAGGTATTTCTCCTAATGCTATCCCTCCCCCGACCCCCCACTCCCCAACAGATCCCAGTGTGTGATGTTCCCCTCCCTGTGTCCATGTGTTCTCATTGTTCAACTCCCACTTATGAGGTGTTTGATTTTCTGTTCTTGTGTTAGTTTGCTGAGAATGATGGTTTCCAGCTTCATCCATGTCCCTGCAAAAGACATGAACTCATCCTTTTTTATGGCCGCATAGTATTCCACGGTGTATATGTGCCACATTTTCTTTATCCAGTCTATCACTGATGGGCATTTGGGTTGGTTCAAAGTCTTTGCTGTTGTGAACAGTGCTGCAGTAAACATATGTGTGCATGTGTCTTTATAATAGAATGATTTATAATCCTTTGGGTATATACCCAGTAGTGGGATTGCTGGGTCAAATGGTATTTCTAGTTCTATATCCTTAAGGAATTGCCACAAAGTCTTCCACAATAGTTGAACTAATTTACACTCCCATCAGCAGTGTAAAAGCGTTCCTATTTCTCCACATCCTCTTCAGCATCTGTTGTTTGCTAACTTTTTAATGATTGTCATTCTAACTGGTGTGAGATGGTATCTCATTGTGCTTTTGACTTTCATTTCTCTAATGACCAGTGATGATGAGCAGTTTTTCATATGTCTGTTGGTTGCATAAGTGTCTTCTCTTGAGAAGTGTCTGTTCATATCCTTCACCCACTTTTTGATGGAGTTGAGATGGAGTTTCGCTCTGTCACCCAGGCTGGAGTGCAGTGGTGTGATCTCCACTCACTGCAACCTCCACCTCTAGGGTTCAAGTGATTCTCGTGCCTCAGCTTCCCAAGTAACTGGGATTACAGGCGCACACCACCATGCCCAGCTAATTTTTGTATCTTTTTGTAGGGACAGAGTTTCACCATGTTGGCCAGGCTGGTCTTGAACTCCTGGCCTCAAGTGATCCACCTGCCATGGCCTCCCAAAGCGCACATTTTTTTCTTATGTCCGTCATGGTACAATGCTGAGTGAATCATAGATAGTGAATAGAACACCTTGTTGAGGGATTTTATGGTTACTGTTCTGTGCAATCTGTAGTCACAGCATTGACTTGAAAATGACCACATGCCCAACGGCCAGTCATTAGGACAGACCAGTAGAAGAAAATGTTAGCGTAACGTGGTGGGAGTTGGATAAGAAGATAAGACCACAAACACAACTATTTGGGGAATATATTTTTTTTCCTTTAGTTCAGGCTTTTGGAAAGTGTTCATCCTTAGTAAATCCCAAGAGGGCATACATTCCATTGCTTGGCATTCAGGATGGGAATGACCTCTACTAAGAAAGTTAGGCATATCCTTAGGATGCCAGGCCAATAATGTAGATTTCCAGGTGCAGCATAGCTCAGCCACTTGCTTCTAGCAAAAGATAAAGTACAAACTCTATGAGTGACTGACTCCCCCAGCCCCAGTTCCTAGATGAATGCCTCCATTACTTTGGGGGGAATCTGATCTTCCTGGCTCTAGCCAATGATTCCAGTGAGTCTAAAACATGCAGGATAAATTTCGCTGAAACCTTCAGCAGGATGGACTCAAAAACTCTACTAGGTGTTTTTTTTTTTTTTTTTTTTTTTTTTTTTTTTTTTTTTTTTTTTTTTTTTTTGAGGCCAAGTTTCGCTCTGTCACCAGGCGCCAGGCTGGAGTGCAGTGGTGTGATCTCGGCTCACTGCAACCTCTGCCTCCTGGGTTCAAGCAATTCTCCTGCCTCAGCCTCCCAAGTAGCTGGGACTACAGGCACATGCCACCACGCCCAGCTAATTTTTGTATTTCTAATAGAGATGGGGTCTCACCATGTTGGCCAGGATGGTCTCGATCTCTTGACCTTGTGGTCCGCCTGCCTTGGCCTCCTAAAGTGCTGGGATTATAGGCGTGAGCCACTGTGCCCAGCCTCTACTAGGCTTTTTTTTTTTTTTTTTTGAGACGGAGTTTCGCTCGTTACCCAGGCTGGAGTGCAATGGCGCGATCTCGGCTCACCGCAACCTCCGCCTCCTGGGTTCAGGCAATTCTCCTGCCTCCGCCTCCCGAGAAGCTGGGACTACAGGCGTGCGCCACCATGCCCAGCTAATTTTTGTATTTTTAGTAGAGACGGAGTTTCACCATGTTGACCAGGATGGTCTCCATCTCTCGACCTCGTGATCCACCCGTCTCGGCCTCCCAAAGTGCTGGGATTACAGGCTTGAGCCACCGCGCCCGGCCTCTGCTAGGCTTTTTAAATGTGCGGCTCTGAAAAAAAAAATCTCTGTAATCAGCTGGGTTCAGTGGCTCACACCTGTAACCCCAGCACTTTGGGAGACTAAGGCAGGTGGATCATTTGAGGTCAGGAGTTCAAGACCAGCCTGGCCAACATGGTGAAGCCCCATCTCTACTAAAAGTAAAAAAAAAAAAAAAAAAAAAAAAGCCAGGTGTGGTGGCTGGTACCTGCAGTCCCAGCTGCTTGTGAGGCTGAGGTACGAGAATTATTTGAACCCAGGAGGTGGA